TCAAAGAAAAATTGAAAATGATGTAGACTTTGTCGGATTGAGCATGTTAATGGAGTAAATGCAAGCAACTGTCCACACTCCCTAGCACCGGCTTACACAGAATTTAACATTTAACATGAAAATTATGACATTTTAAACTAAGTAACCTCCGCAGAATTGTTCATTTTTTATAGAAAAAATAAACATTAACAAAACATATGAAAACAAAATGCTTGGAAAAAAAACATAAATATAATTTGTTTACTTATTATTGGGATTAAGCTTTTTTCTTAAAAAATTCATTATTTTTTTATACAATTGCAAGTTTAACTTCTATGACCAAGGCCGAATTCACACATATGCGGCTGTTTCTGAATTAATCACCAGTTCATAATATTGACTCCGGCTTTAAGCGGTGCCTGGGATGGTGTGGACAATAGCTTACATAAACCGCAACTGCCAGTTGATCAAAGCATTAAACAATTTCAGTTTTGTCATTTTAATACAATAAATAAATGACTCTGTCATATGATATTGTCTTATATTCATTAAATGCAAAAGTATGTCTTGATATGCACACAAATATAGTCATTTAAGTTATAAACTTCAACATCAAAATCTATGTTTGTTTATGTAATAGTTAGGACGGCCCTTTAGTTTACTATAAATCACTGATGAAACGTCATGTTAATACGTGACGACATAATTGTATCTAAGTTTGTAAATGTTGGGTCATAGAACTTTACAATCATATTATTACATGTATACACGAACAAGTACGAAACATATGTTAAAGACTATCACATTAAGATCTTTCGTGACTGATAGCATGTGTTATGTCAGCCATTTTTAACCTGCCTTCTAAATTAAGTTAACTTATTGGGACAAATATAAAATGTTGAAGAAGTTCATTCTGGTGACATACTTATATAAGCAAGGGTAAATGCCATAAACTTGCTATTTTACATGTACTAAGTCATATGACCTTACTTTGTGACCTGTTTTATTGGTGTATCAGATGCTATGTTTGTATCTTTGGCATTTCCATTCTTTCCAGGTTTTAAATGAAAGTCCACAAGAGCTTCCATTTGCAAACTATGTGCTATATATAGTAACAGTGATATTTTATTTTTACTTAAATATTTGAGAACAAAACGAAACAAAAAGGCTAGTTTATTTAAAACTGTTAATATTAGATATATATAAAAGGGAACTAAATATTGGTTAAATCTGCTGTAGAAATACTTCATTATGTCGCTTTGGATATTTTGTATTTGTATCACTTTGCGAAATCGCTTATGTGTATATAAATGAGATGCGGCAAAAGATATAAATATTTGTCCGAAAATTATTGAAGCCGATCGGATAATGTCTCTTCATGTTTAACACTATAAGCACATTTTCTAAATGATGATAAATAAGGCATCTATAAATATTAATATGCAGTAAATGAAAAGCATAGGGATAATGTATTTATGAGAACAGTAGCACTAGAAATTGAATTGTAAATGGTGTACAATGTTTGAAATATATAACGTTAATACTGCTTAAGTACCACACAATTTACTGAAATCACTCATGATTTCAACTAAGTCATCTTTTTTACTAAGTAACAGTTATTGTATGTAGTAGCAAGTGAGCTTGTTAATAATCCAGCATCAAAGGCTGTTTTCTTTTGGCATATCAGACATGATTTTCTACCGTTCCTACCGGTAACCGTCGTAAGCACTAGAGTTTTTTCGTTTTGTACCGCGACAGCCGGTGTAAGATCCTATACTTCGGAAAACTCAGAGTTGGCCGAATTAAGAATTGATAACGCTCATTATTATAACACTTTATATTGTTCTATAACACTAAAAGGTGGTTTAGAAAGTTGACCTTATTTAGTGTTATCTCTTGCTTGGAGGTGAAGTTACACGTATAAAAGGAATTCAAGGTTGTCCTATTCCCTTTACAAAGGAAAGAATCAAAAGACGGAATGAAAGTGCTCGTTCTGTTGTCGATTTTCGGACTAGCTGTGGCCGAGCCGCTTGTGGCTGAGGTGAGAGCATTAAATCAATTAGAAAAAATAGTGAGAAAACGTGATGTTTGTGCACGTTTATAAATATTCGTGACTCAGAGCGTCGGTAGTTTTCGCTGTCATAGCACGTAAAAAACATGAGATTTTTTTATAATATACGAAAAACAAACAGCGAAACGCAGATTGACCCAATTAGACAAGAATAGCGCTAAAGCAACGTTTGTCGTGCATTAAAATCTTCAAAAGCCCTCGGACTTATTTAATTCCTCAGCCAACGAGCTTTAAATAAACGTCCTTGTACTTCAGCAGATGCTAATGCACAAAAAAGTCCCTTTAACCCCCTAATATGTTATATTGCACACAATAATATAAAAGTTGAAAGCTTTGCATATTGGTATGTTTGTTTTTAATATTCATACCTGAATAGTTAACTGAATATTCATACCTGCCTGAATAATTACTTATAGAAATTAATTATTCATGTAAGAATATTCAAAACAAAATAATGAATACAATGTTATATTGCACAAATAATATGATGGTTGAAAACTTTGCATATTGGTTTGCTTATATGTTTGTTTTGAATATTCATATCTTAATAATTAACTGTATATTCATACCTGAATTATTACTTGTAGTTAATTATTCAGTTATGAATATTCAAAACAATAAATAGAGGATATTCAAGTTTTTTCTATAAATACATGATTTATTTTCATCGAGTGGTATGAAAATAAATATTTCATGAGTGGCGGTAGCCACAAGTGAAATATGGTAATTTTCATGCCACAAGATGAAAATAAATCATGTATTTATAGAAAAAACTTGAATTTTCTGTTTATTATATACATTTTTCTCTTTTTTGACATTAAAATTTGAAAGACTTTCCCTTAAATTTTGTGTACAGGCAGAATTTAAAAGAAAGTAGTCCGGCAAGACACCAGTGAAAATACGGAAAATATGTTTCACTGCAGTGTAAAATAAATTTTTACAGTGAAAATACGGAAAATGAAAATACACATTTTATTTCATCTATATTTCTCAATATTTCATTCGTAAGTATATAATAAATGTATTATCTTGAACGTTTTCTACCGATAAATAGATGTATATGCATGTATGGATATATGAGCCGCGTCATGACAAAACCAACATAGTGGGTTTGCGACCAGCATGTATCCAGACCAGCCTGCGCATCCGCGCAGTCTGATCAGGATCCATGCTGTTCGCTTACAAACCCTATAACAATTAGAGAAACTGATAGCGAACAGCATGGATCCTGACCAGACTGCGCGGATGCGCAGGCTGGTCTGGATCCATGCTGGTCGCAAATCCATTATGTTGGTTTTATCATGACGCGACTCATATCTTGATAACTAAACGGTCATATCTGATTTACCTTACATGTCTTCAATTTCAACATATGATTTACTTGTTTTGCTTTATCCTTTTCAGCCGGTACCAGAAGCCGTATATGGAGGTAAGTTTATGAACATTTTTTATTACATGCTTTTTGGTGGTTTATAGAAATTTATTACATGCTTTTTGGTGGTTTATAGAAATATATCAGTGATTTAAAACTGGTAATTTCACTGTTTGAAACAGTGAAATTACCACTTTGATAATTTCACTGTTTTGAATTTAAGCCCCTTACGTTGTTTCAGTGAAATACCAGCGTACACAGTACTGGGTACCAACTTAATGACGTAAACTTTTCGTAAATGACGTCAGGGTTGTATTATTTTTTGGCCCGCGCTTTTAAATTCCCAGTTTTTGGGTTTAAAATTGTCTTTTTAAAAGTTTCTTGCATATAAAAAAAAGAAAATTTTTTTAAAGTTTATTTGAAAAGTTGAAAAATATTTTCCCCCTTGTGAACCCCAAAAAAAGTTCAAAAATTTTCCTCGTGGGCTGCCCCACCCGGGGAAATATCCCTTTTTGGTGCCCCCTGGTGAAATATTTTCCCGATTTAAAATTTAAACTAAACAAATACCCCTCAAATATCATTTAAAACTTGTAAAAATGATGTATTTAATTTATAAAAAATAAATCGGGGTACTGGTTTCATCCAAACAATTTTTTCTTAAACTTTAAATCATTTTTTTTGGTTTAAACTTTTTGTTTTTAAAAAAGATGGATTTTTAAATAGATTTAAACGCTTGAAACTTTACTAAGTTGCAAAAGAAAGTGGGCACTTGTTTTTTACTTGGAAATTCTTAGTAAATTCTTAGTAATACTAACTTGAGTAAAATATTAGCACATTTGGTATCAAAATTATTAGAAATGTATGGTCCATACAACGGTTTATTCAGTAATGAAATTTGATAATTGTCAGATTGCGGCTTCGTGTAAATAGCGGAAGGGCGAAAAATTAAAGTTGCAGAATTGTGACTTTTAAACTTTTTTGTCCAATTACGTGAAAGTTAATCTGTATTTGTTGCGTCTATAACGTAAATGGATTAACTAAAGTGTTCGATACTACATGGAATTGACCTAACATCATATGGACTTGGTATTGAATTATGTTTGTAAAAAAATTAAGTATCCAAAAGCAGAAACGTATTTACAAAAAGCACAATTCTTCAACTTTATTTTCACCCCTTAGCTCACACGTAGTCAATATTCTGATTGTTTTCAAAGTTCAATAAAATATAGACCAAATCATGTAGTCAATACCATTTCTGCAAAATGTTGGTAATCAATTATGCCAATCAAATAATTTTGCTTTCAAAATGTATACAAAATATCCCCTGTAAAACCCAATGCAAACTTTCTTTTTGCAAACTGGGTACAATATGCAAAATTAATGAAACCTTTTGAAATGGTATGAAAGTTGCAAAATGAAGAAAAAATAATATTTAAATATCAAACACTCATGATAAAATGGAATCAGAATCAAAAGGATTAAAAAAGTATTGAAAACAGATTTATAGAAGCTGAAAGTGTTTCCTCTTTCCTTTAAAACATCTCTTTTTTTTTAAACCAATGATCGAACTACATTTGAAATCCGATGTTTTTACTGTTTTTAAAAGTTCTAACCGGCTTATTTTTCCAAAACTGAACTCCTAAGGAAATGGAAAAGTTAACATTAAAACTCTAACGAAATCGTAAAAATTAAATTAAAAAATTCACAAACTTAAAAAAAAGCTAGAAGAAGTTATGTTGAATTAAACAATTTATTAGATTTTAACTGTTAATAATGTTGCCACTGAAAAGCGAATACGACATTTATTACCAGTAAAGGACCTGGCCTGTCCTGCACGAGGATTTCTATCATTCTTTATATTTATTTATATATTTTTATATTGAATTCTCTTAAAATCGTACGAATTAAAAATTCAAAAACTGGGCAAACCATTGAACAAATTTAGCAAGTAAAAGAGTAAAATCTTCATAACTGTTTCATTCCCAAATTTTCACTTTGTTAGTGCATGTATATATAACACAGTCACACAGCTGTTGTCCTATTTATTTTATAAAAGAGATTGGATTTTATATAATTTCAAGTCGTTAATCTAGACCATTGCCTGTCAATACAATTTTTTTAAAAAAATGCTTTGAACAACTACATTTCTATTATTCATAATTCTAGTTTTACTTGATCTTAACTTGTAATGAAATAAAGTATAATTTCAAAATATATATTTTTTCTATTTACTTATAACCGTTCTCATATTGAAAATATTTCATCAATATAAAATGTAATACAAAGTTTGAAACAAAGGCAGAACAGGTGACTGAACTATTGAACTATATAAGACATCACTTAGAAACAAAAAAACTTTCTGATACTGTCACGCCAGTGCCTAGTTTAGAAACATGAACTTAATCATTTCACGAAAAATAGAGATAACGAACGAGGCCTTACATTGATAACGAATGTGGAAAATAGCAGAACCTACTGCGGTCATGAACATAAATATATACTATATACATGTATAAATATATTTGCCATATACACATATATAGGTGAATGAATGATTAAATTTATATGAGCCGCGTCTGACAAAACCAACATAGTGGGTTTGCGACCAGCATGGAATTCCAGACCAGCCTGCGCATCCCGCCGCAGTATGATCAGGATCCATGCTCTGTTCGTTACCAAGTCTATTACAAGTAGAGAAACTGATAGCGAACTGCATGGATCCTGATCAAGACTGCGCGGATGCGCAGGCTGGTCTGGATCCATGCTGGTCGCAAAACGCACTATGTTGGTTTTGTCGTGAACGCGGCTTCATTTAAGAAAAATATGATAATTCTGGGTGATATAATAAAGCTTACTTAATGCAACAATTCTGTTTTTTTGTTTCATTTCTACATATTTTAAAGAAACGCATTAGTTGTTCTTTATTTAGTAATTTGAATTATTTGCATTATTTACACATTTCTAAATATGGCTCTTTTTTCCATACATTTCCATATAATATTCATTATTTCTTTTTTTACATTATTCGTGTAGTAAATCTATTGCATTTCTGTGGACTTTACATTACTTGTACCATTTGCAATTTTTGTATCATTTCGCAAATATTTTTTTTATAAACTTAACATAGCACAACTTTTATAGTAACAGCATACGTAGCTTTTCCTGCACTATTTAGCACTAATTGAATAGCATCATGTTCATCAATTGCATAGTTTTTGAAATTTACTTTTTTAGTATCATTTACCTTATTTGTTCTAACGGTATCAAATGCTTTCATTGTTTTACTTATGTTATTTCCACTTTTATAACATTGTATTATTTGCAATGTTTGCATTGATCGTATAACTTGCATTATTTGTACTTATTACAATATTTTTGTATATATTGTTCAAACTGGTGTATTACCCGTTGCATTGCTTGTTATTACTTTTGCATCTCATGTAATTGTATTATTTACATCATTTGCGTAATTTTGTATTATTTTTGTATTATTTTAAGAGAAAGCTTATGATAATCCCGAGGAGAATTCGGGTCTTTTCGAGGGTGATATTGACCTCCTGCCCGGAGAAACCCCAAATGGTGAGTTTCCGCATATTCTTTTTATTCGGTATTCTTGTGTTTTTTTTTTTTTTTTTTTTCATATCTCATGCACGTCGATTGGAAATTATATCTATATTCAGTCCATGATCATGTAGAAATACCGAACGTTAGATTTAAAGAAAACAGTTTACCAAACTTTGGGTAAATAAGTCTCAGCTCCCAAACTCAACCCCACGGGTTCTGTGTACTTTAAGTTTGTGGGATGGTAAATTAACTTTAATGCAGGGTGAAAACTTTTTAAAGTTGTGTTCTTTTTAAAAAACAATCTTCTACAACGTCTTCTGCGCCTAAGAGACTGTTTTTTAGTAATTAGTGTAGTTACAACTCACATAAAAACGTAAAAAATTCCATTTAACGTGTGAAATGCAAGTTGTGTTTTTGAAAAACTTTAACTCAATTATTTTGACGAAATAATTGTTAAAAACTGATTTACAGTTGTATTTTCTTTGTGGGAAGTATAACAATTTTTGTTTACTTTTTGTATTTAAGCACAGAAATGCTATTGCCGTAGAAGAAGGAGATGGGCCAATGGTATTGTTGCCATAGCGAAATCCAATCATCATATCGTAAGTAATGTAATTAGTTTCATTTGAGTGTTTGAGAAATTGTTTAATCTGCGTCAAGATAAGCAATAGTAATATAACGAACCAGAGTGTTCCTTTCTGTCTGTCAACAGACAAAAAAGCATACGCGACTATGAATCTTTGAAAGTAACTTCTTCACGTTAGATCATTCTCACAAGAAGCTCCATTTTGACGTTGTAAGTACACACTTGATAATGGTTGTCTAAATCAAACGTTCATCATTACAAAAACATTCTTTTGTATTCATCATCGCCATCGCTTATAGTCAAGCATTATTAAAAACAAAACAATTTTATCATCTTTTTCTTCCTGATCATGTTCGTCGCCACCCACCTCTTTCAGCCCCTCTTTCTTACCCCCCTTCTCATTATCATAATCACCAGGATCTTTTCGTCTTTTCTAACCTCTTCATTATAATTCGTGACTGTCATTGCTCCACCTCCTCTTCATCGTCATGATCGTCGTCATCCATCAGACCAAGATAAGATCATATTTTATTTCATATTTCAGCTGAAACCGTTAAAAACATCTTTCATCAAGCCATGAATGAGATTGAAACGAGGACAAAGGTCAACGGAAAGACATGTATTCACTTTAAACCTCATGCAGGCGAAAAAGGTTTCGTCAAATTTGTAACAGGAACCGGGTTAGTATCAATTGACACACATTTTCATTTTTTCAAATTTATAACGCCATGAATGTTCATTTACAGTATATTTGCCATTGCAAAATATACACATATGTATATATATTTTTCATGTAAAAAGGCTAATATTTGCTTATATGGACATGTTAAAGGTGCCACACACCAGTTGGTTATATTGGACGCAGTCAAGTGTTACTATTGGACATGGATGTGAACGCAAAAGGAAAAAATTAAGGGGACGAGTTTTTGGGCACCGCTTGGGTTTTTTGGCATGGGGGAGTAGAACAGAAAAAAGATAACTATGTTTAAAAATCGATTTAAAGGTAATATTAGAAAGGAAAAATGCTTTTATTATATGTCTTTTTCATTTGTTTCCCCAAATCAGGGCTGAAAAAATTAATATAGCATTTTTTTGAAAAATTTGGGGGGTACATCCCATATAAGAGTCCCCCGGATGGCCCCAAGCCCGGTCGGTTTTTCCCGGGGGCCCCAGAGGGTCCGTTGGGGCATTTTCCGTGTCCGGGGGCATAACTTGAAGAATAATGGTTAGAATTAAGTACAACTACATACAATGATCAAGCACTTTGAGAGGACGTGCAGTGCACAAGAATCATAACTCTGTCTTGACTTATTACAGAGCTATTGTCCTTTGTTACTTTTCCTGTTCGTAGCATAACTTGAAAATTACTGGTTGGAATTCAAAACAACTACATACTATGGTCAAAGACAATAAGCCGAAGTGCAGTGCACAAGAATCATAACTTTATCTAAATTAATTCAGAGTGATTGCCCTTTGTTACTTTTCCCATGTTTTATTTTTTTCGGAGCAAAACTTGAAGACCAATAGTTGGAATTCAATACAACTTCATACAAAGATCAAGCACATTGAGAGGAAGTGCAGTGCATTAAACAATAACTCCATCTCGAGTATTTTCAGAGTTATTGCCCTTTATAATTTTCCTTGTCCGGAGCATAACTTGAAGACTAATGGTTGGAATTTGATACAACTTCATACAATGGTCACGTATATTGAGTGGAAGCGCAGTGCACAGAACTTATAACTCATTTTTGACTCATTTAAGAGTTTTTGCCCTATGGTTATTTTCTATTGTCCAGTTCCTAACTTAAAAATTAATGATTGGAATTCAATGAAACTTCATACAATGTTAAGGGCAGTGATATGAAGTGCAGTGCACAAGAACCATTACTATTTGGACTAATTACATAGTCATTGCCCTTCGTTACAAGTTTTGTTCAACTTTGAAGCTAGTCGTTGGAATTCAACCCAACTTCATGCAATGATCAAGGGCAACGAGAGGAAGTGCAATGTACAATTACCACAACTCCATCTTCAGCATTTGTAGAGTTATTGCCCTTTGTTCCTTTTCCTTGTCTGGTGCATAAATTAAAAGCTAATGTTTAGAATTCATTGCAACTTCATACAATGGTTAAGCGCAATGAAAAGAAGTGCAAAATTGAAAAAAATCTTAGTTAAAAAGGCTTTCCAACATGATCAGCTTTTTAGTAACTGCTTTCGCACGAATAATTTTACACGCCTGAGCCTATCTTGAAAGCATTAACGTTTAACAGTAAGCAACGGGGGCTTTTTTCCTTAAACCTATTATGTGTACATGCAAGGTTTTATGAATTTTTTGTTTCAATATTTTGAGGACATGAAGGAAAATTTTTCAACAAATACCCAGTTGGTTATATCGATATGTTGGGACAACCCTACGACTATGGCAGTATCATGCACTACAGCGCATATGGGCATTTGCTATTGACCGTTCAAGGAAAAAAAACCATTATTCCAAAAACAATCTGGAAGTGAACTATTGGTCAGAGAGTCGTGTCTAGTGATACAGATGTCAAAGAAATCCAACTTCTGTACGACTGTATTCAAAGTACCCGCCAGCGGAAAGTCAAGTGACTGGATTTGTCACAACGCCCACCAATTCACAACTGCAAGACCTCCAACAGGCTGTAAGATAATAAATTAAAAAAAGTTGCTCGTTTTCTTAAGCGCGGTATGCCACTTTTTTCTCAACAAAATTAGCCAAACAACCTCATATTTTTGGTTTTTTGAACATTATTATAGACGGGGAATTGAAATAGTTCTTTCTTATTTTTTCATTTTTTGCAACAGAAACTTATAATCTTATAAATATACAGTGGAAAATAGTTTTTCGTTTAAAAGGCCTAATTTAGCCCCTCCGCAAATATTAGGTTTATGTTTATTTCAAAAAGGGGAAATTTTGATTTTTATGGGACCTAAATGTTTCGAAAAACGTACCAAATTGGCCTAAAAATTTACTGAGCAATCCCTAGCTTCTTTTGCGGTTTTTGCAATTTGTATAGTTATGAATTAAGAATTGTGTATGCAAGTCAAAATACCGCTTTGAGTAAATTTTGCTTCTCGACAAAAAACTTTACAATCAGCACTGTTTCCTTAAGGTAATAGGCATTTTACTACTTTTTCATCCATTATATAACATCATTTTTAAAACACATGATTGGCCTTTTACGGAATAAAGAGTGTATTCATTTCTGAGGTTTAGTTTGCTTCTATATGCTACCAAATAATAAGAATCATTATAAATGTATAACATAACAATATGTAATTTTAAAATATAAAAATTTATGAAAAAAATGAAACAAACATAAGAATGTAACGCATAAATTCTGTATTAATATGGTTTGTTTTTTTCTTCAAGTCATAATAAGTTAAATAAGACATATACAATGTTATATACAGCTGACGTGTGTACCTTCCAACAATAACTTCTGTCACTGTGGACGGAGCCACACTCAGATCAGAACAAGTGGGTAAGACATAAGGGTAAGCTACACCAAGTTCACATACAGGGCCAACAAACGACGCTCATGGTTCTTCTACAGGTAAAAAACTCTCACAACATAAAAAATTAACTTTTTTTAATATGAAACGGTTTAAGATTGGACATATTAATCCCCGGGTTTGTTTCATTTTTTACAAAATATTATAATATTTCAGATGAATTACAAAAATATATGCAACTATAATACTAAACATTTTAACGAAAAAAAAGCATTGTTAACTTAAAAACAAATTGTACTAAATATTTAGAAAACTAGGCTTTTAAAAAGTTTTTTTTTAAAGAAAACACTATATGTTAAAAATATTTTAGGTAATACAACATCTAATTCTAATACTTACATTTTGATGGAATTTTTGCATAACAGTAGTTATAAGATTTCTATATTGTAAGAAACACACCATGTTTGACTATTTCTAGGTTATTACATTTACGTTGAGGCGTCCCGGGACACAAGAGCCAAGTTTCAAAGATCGATTCCAAGTTGTTCGCCGGCGGTGATTATTGTGTTGATTTCTAACTATAACATGTACGGTTCCGACATGGGCTACCTCCGTCTCAATGTTATTGCTGGCACACATATGTACCATCTTAAACAATGGAGCGGGTAACCACGGAGATCCATTGGGTACACCAGAAAATGAACGCTCACATTCACAACTTCGCGTACATTCAAGTATGGGTACATTGTATACGTGTTATTTTTAACGACAAAATTTACATGAAACGTGTAAAATAAATGTCGGCGATTCATACTGAGTCCATTCTGTAATGTATATATATTCTGAAAGTGGAAAAATGTCAAAATCGTTCCATTTAATAGATTCCATAAGTAGTCTAGAGTTCCTTGCCCTTACACTAGTTCCGTAGTAAATGTAGACAGGGAACCAGAATAAAGTATGATGCATTTATAATTTCTTTGTGGCTGGGTAGCAATAGTTTGCAAATATTCCATTTAATAAGGACATTATGTTACTAGTTCTTTAAGTTAAACATTAATTTAATGCACATTTTTCAGGCAATACCAAGATATAATTAATGTACTTATACCATAATATCTAACCAGGTTTATTTGTTGAAATTGTCAGCTTTAAACTCTGAATTGTCCATCGTTTGTTCAAATGATATTACATATCAAAACACGGCAATGAAAAATGAACATTACATGTAGAGTTTCCAGCCAGAATTGTCTGGGTCCTTTTACGACTTTGTCATAATATTTTCGTCGTCGATATTCGGAGTGTAAAGAACAGCAATGTGTACTGATTATGTTTAATATTTATACATTTTATGTAAGAATGGGGCTGTATTAAACAGGGTTCTTTTTAACCCTGTAAAAATAAAATATTAAAAAAATTTTAAAGAAAATATATGCCAAAATTGGAAAAGGGGATTTTTCCCCGAAATTTTAAATTGAATTTTTGGCCCTCATGAGTCATTACTGTGATTTTTCCCGTTCGAATTTGAAAACGACACCGGGGAAAAAGCTACACAATGGTATTGCTCCTTTATGAAAATTAAATTATACATCCGGGCAACTGTTTAAAAAAGTCACTGCTCGCCAGCAGTTATTTGTAAAAATGTACAACAAATTAAGTTTAATTTTTAAAAAAAATTGAAAAAAACTACTTTAAATCAAAGTCCTTGTTTTTCCCAAAAAGATTGTTCGTGGTAATCAAAATGTAAAATGTATTATACTGTTAGCTTTTAATATACGTGAAAACGTTAATAATACCCGTAAGATCTATTTATGAACAGCCACGCAAGGAGAAACAAACTATCAGATTGTGTTTAATGACCATACCATACTATGAGGTATGGCCTCTATTTATTGTTTTAACCAACAATACTAAACCATGTGCAAAGAATAGTACATACATCAATATTATGCATCTTAATACAATATAGAAAATACACATGAAGGAATAATGATTAATCGAATTCTACTATAATAGTAAGAAATGTGAGGGTTTCGTAAGAAAAACGTCATGGCCTCCATTCATAATTTTAACCAACAATATTTAAACATGTGCAAAGAATAGTACATACATCAATATTATGCAAATTGATACAATATAGAAAATACACATTTAAAAATAATTATTAATCGAATTCTACTATAAAAGTAAGAAATGCGAGGGTTTCATTACAAAACGCCACCTTACATAATTATTAACATTTCAATTGTTACAGAAAGTATAATATAATAAAAATTAATATTGCCTTTCTTTCTAACAACCACTGAAATAATTATGTCGGTTACACTGAGACCCTTATAATTTTGTTGTGTTGAAGGGGATGGGGGAGGGTAAAAATGTTTGCTTCCTCCTTCTACGCGTCTAAGTAATTGCTAACTAACCGCCTCCGTGGTCGAGGGGT